GAAATCTGATCACTCTTTAACTTCATACATGGACGTCATATGGTTATTATATTTTTTTCATGTTTTATAGGGAATACTTAAAAGCATGTTTACTACTCGGGGCTATGATGCATATCCAGAGACATCCTTGCCAAGCCAGATAAACAGCAAAGTGACGGTGACAGAAAGGTGAGTGGCAGAAACATCCATCCTGTAGAAGCTAAGAACACACCTGATCAAAGAAAATGAGTTTCTTGAGCTGTTAATGAAACAATTTACTCTGCTTGCCTGGTTTATCTAATCCAGTGTTTCCCAAACACTGTGCCTGCGGCACATAGGTGTGTAGTTAGAAATGATACGGTGTGCTGTGGGAGATCGTCTGGTTCCACCTGACTTTAAGCGAGAGTAACGGGCAGAACAATTACGTTCTTTCCCACTTGAAGGCAGTATATATACCATATACCTCCTCTATTTAAATGGGTCACCAACTGCCAGTAAAACAGAAGAAGGTGAAGAAGAACTTGCATAATAGTCATGCTGTGAGATGACGCAGCACGAATAGCAATAGATGAATATTTGATAAGAAAAAGTGGTCAGTCTGACCTGGGTCCTAGGGAAAATTCTGACCCAGATGAAGGGCTTAGCATGAGTAGTGGTCAGAAGAAACCAAAAAGGTATACTGGGGACAAACCGAGCCAATTCCGCTATACCTGGTGCCCGGGGAAAATGTATCAATATGCTTTTTGTGACATTTTTGTTTGGTGGTGTGCTGCGTGATTTTTCTGATGTGAAATATGTGCCGTGGCTCCAAAAGGTTGGGAAACACTGCTCTAATCTGTCCAATATAGTTTTGTTCAGCTGTCCAAAATATGAAGAGATTCGACTTATAGTCATACCTCAAGAGAAAAAGTAGTCTGCTTCCACTTGTAAGACATCAGTAAATGTCAGTTTTCATGCAACTACTTTTTTTTCCCACTGTAGTTGCAGATTACTGCGAAATCTTATTTTTACAAGGTTCTGACACCCAGTTGAAGCACCGCCCAACAGGACAGGTAGTGCATCAGGGCCATGGAAGCTGGGTTTTTATTTTTAAAAATGTGTATAGGCTTCCTGACAAAAAGCATGTCATTTAGCACGTACTTGTATAAGTTTCACGACAGTCTAAAATATTTTGTTTATTAAGACTCAATGCCTCCTTAGTCTTGTTCTATATGAATAGTGATAATTTTGACTTTTTGTGGTCCTTTTTTATTACATGCATTCCTTATGAAACATTATATAAAATGCATTCAATTCAAAACAGTGCTCTGAAAAAGAAGATTCGGGAGGCAAAGGATGGACGTTTCATGGAGAAGGACAAACGTATCGTGGAGGAGCTCAAGTGCCTGCATTGTGACCCTCATCCTTTCTTTAGAGTCTATCCATCAGAGTCAGACTTAAGTAAGTGATGCGGTCTCTCCCCTGACCTGTTTGTATTGCTTTGTGTATTTTATTTGATCTGGGCTGCC